AATACAATATACACTTTGTCATTTGCAGACGACCAACTTGTACTAGCGCAAGGCTACGATGATATAGAATATATGACAAGGAAATTAATAGAGGAGTACAAAAAAGGTGGTTTGGAAATAAACATAAAAAAGACCGAATATATGTGTATCGGTGGGACACAGCAGGACCTTACACTGGGGAATGGCGAAATTATTAAACATTGCGACGCATATAAATACCTGGGTATGACCATCACACAAGAAGGAAACGTAGACCGGACGATAGAAGAAAGAAACAACCAGGGAAGAAAAGCAATTACCCTTCTCAATAGCATACTGTGGGACCAGGCAATATCAAACAACAACAAACATAGAATATACAATACAATTGTTAAGAGTATAATCACTTACAGCAGTGAAGTATGGCAAATAAAAGAAAGATACAAGAGAAAACTTGAAGCAACAGAAATGGATTTCTGGAGGCGCTCAGTAGGAAAATCAAGATTAGAAAGGGTAACCAACAACAGAATTAGGGAAATAATGAATGTGAAACACACAATAGTAGATGACATTAGTACCAAACAGCTTAGATGGTATGGACACGTACAAAGAATGTCCGAAGAACGACTCCCGAAACAAATCCTAACGTGGACCCCTCATGGTAGACGAAAAAGAGGAAGACCCCGCCTTAGTTGGAGAGAAGGCATAAATCGAAGTATGAGAGAAAGAGAATTAGATGAAGACCTTTGGATGGACCGAAGTGAATGGCGACTAGGCATCGGAAGACGTAGGAGAACGTTTTAAAACCGATATATATATATATATATATATATATATATATATATATATATATATATATATATATATATATATATGAAATGTGGATCTACCGGAGAATACTCAAAATTTCATGGACATCGCATACCTCAACGAAGAAGTGCTTTGAGGAGAGGGCACTTTAAGAAGAAGAAGTCATAGTTTACGAAATACTATTGATAAAGAACTGACCATTATTTTAAATTCAATCATCTAAAGAAAAGGTTTATATATTTGTTTTTCTTTATTTGTATTTCCATGTTGTCAATAACAATAAAATTATTAAAGGAGCATAACTAATATCTATTACAGACATTTTTCTTGTCTCATAGACAAAATAAAAAATTGGACATCTTTCTTAGTACACCTCTGTAACACCTATAGGCTAATACACCTGATAATTGCTGCTATTACGCGCATCTTTGCTTCAGTGCATATCTAGGTAAAATCCTTTAACTATATATCGAATTGTAATGTAATGTCAGAATCGAAGTTGACGAGTTTCACCACCTCACCACCTTAGCCTCTTTGTTCGCAAAAACAGGAAGCGGCGTGAGAGATGTGATGTAAGATATAGTTTTCGATTAAAGCAGTTTTACTGGATTAAATCCACAACAATGGAACATTAATCGTTATGGTGTGTATTGCTAAAGAAGGAGGAACTCGACTTTAATTTGAAAAAATCCTGTTTCACTAAAGAAGCAACGCAACTGATTTGTATCAATCAAGCTGTACCACAGTTAGTAAATCATTTATTACAGTTTCTTTATGTAGTTTTAATGTGTTTTTGTTATTTTTAGGTACGTGTAAGGCAAATTTTAATGTCAAATTAGAAATCGTAAAAATATATTAAGTATGCCTTTATTACACTATTCCGTAAAACAAAATGGAGGACCCACGTATTTTATTACTGGGGTATTGAATGTTTTGTACTTCGTGTAGGCCTCTCTAATAAATACTCTACAATAAATGCGAGGAATACCTGGATGACACTCAGTTTGGTTTCCGTAACCGATTTGGAACGAGAGAGGCACTGTTTGGAATGAACATACTTGCTCAAAGATATATATCTGTAGACATATACTGTTGTTTTATTGATTTCCAAAAGGCACTTGATCGTGTTAAGCACTCTATATTGATCGAAACTCTAAATCCGCTCTAGAGGGACTCTAGAGCCGCTAACTTATTTATAGTTGCTGCTGTTAACGTCCATCCTTCTACTCCATAAAGTAGCGTAGAGAGTACATAGCATTTCGTTTCGCACCATCGGAGGTTAACGCTTAGGTTGCGGTTGCTTAAGAGCTTTCTCATTTTGATGAATTTGGATCTTGCTATTTCAATTCGGATCTTAATCTCTACGTCTGGGTACCACTTATCATTTACTGTATATCCCAGATATTTAAAGCGGTATACATTTTTAGTTTGGCTTCAATATATAGGTCGATATGTTGAATGTTCTTTTTACTGATCACCATAAATTTAGTTTTCTTTCTATTGATTCTCAGTCCAAATCGGTTGCCTGTTGTATTTACTCTATTTAGCATCATCTGTAAATCTTTGATGTTATCGGCCAGTATAACAGTATCATCTACATATCGAAAATTACTTATTGGTACGCCATTGATCTTGATGTCCTCGTTGTACTCTAATATGTGTTCCGTGTACAGGTTGAAAAGCAGTGACGAAAGAATGCAGCCCTGTCTAACCTCACCATATGTCCATTCTTCATGTGGGCTGTTTGATTCCAATAGATTTTTTATAATCTGGATGTCCTTAGTGTCAAGTCCTGTAAGATGTAATAGTTCTATGAGTTTGTCATGTTTGATAGTATTTCTCATAGTCGATAAAACAGGCATAAACATCTTTCTGTTGATCCAGGTATTTTTGAATCAAGACTTGTATTGCAAAGAGGGGCTCTCGAGTTCCAAAACCGCATCTAAAACCGATACGGTTGTTATTCTGTTAATTTCCTTTATTTCAGATTGAAATATATCGAATATAGAAGATATAAAAACGGGATTTTTAAAGTTTATCATAAAACTGAAAATTTGGTTCCTTTACCAATACGTAATACACACTGGTGAGCAGAAATTCAGTTTGTGTTAATCTTTATCCTCATCAACCCACTCATAATTGAATGAAGAGAATTTAAATAAAACTTACTGAACTTCCTGTCACAGATATCTGCCGCTTTCTAGGCCAGAAATACAAATGTATGATTTGAGATTACATATTATATCTTGTGATCTCTTTCACGTGACAAACATTAACATCTATTTAACGTTTGGTACTTAAAGTACTCATTAAGTCTTTTGAAAAATTATTACTGTAATTTTATTATGATATAAAAGTATATAGCGTGTTTAAATGTGCAACACAGTAGCCGATTACTAATTTTAGTAAAGCGTAATAAGGCTAGGAGATCACTCACTGTTGTTTAAATATTTTGCAAATTGTTACAATATTCTCTAATATATCTTTAATTTTCCTCTCATAATAACTTCAATAAAAACAAAATAGACGTTTTGTAGTAGTGAGATAAATAATAATATGGTCATATAAACTTATTCGAAACGTTTTTGACAAAGAGCTGGAGCCAAAGAGTATCGTCACCAGTACTATCCACTGCATGCTGACTCCAAGATAGATACAGGACGTAGCAATAAGAAAAAATGGAAGAGTTTCGAGGAATAAATACTTTCAATACTTCACTAGCTTCACTAACCACATTTATCAACACTCTTCTCCAAGATCTAATTAATTACACTCCCAAATATTCTGTCACCAACACTTTAGATTTAATTTCCAAAATTTCTTTAATTACTCTTCCAAATAACTTTACTCTTTCGATGTAACACATCTTTTCACTAATGTTTCCAGATTAGACACCATTCCAATCATCAATATCCTTTTACTCGCAAAAACCATTGACCCCAATAAATGTTCCAAATTACCTCCCTATTTCAATTCTGCTTTTTCCAAGACTTATTTATCTTTAACGATAGAATTTATAGACAACCAGGTTTAGCAATTGCAAATTCACTATCGCCTTTACTTGCAGATCCTTTTCTCGACTCTCTTGAAGTTATTCTGTTCATTCTCAAACACAAATAATCTTATGGTATAGATATGTAGATGATATTTTAGATTTTATAGAAAGCTCACCTTCAGAATCACACACCATTTTGGCATTAATTAATAATTTACACCCTGCAATTAATTCTATCTTAGAGTTACAAAATAACAACATTATCAGCTTTTTAGATTTACCCATTAAAAAGAATTCTTTCTCTTCTTCATATCATCATCAATACCTATACATCATATATTCATCCTTTTCAACATAAGATGGCAGCCATCTGAATCTCAATCAAGAAATCTCAATTATTAAACAAAGAGCAAACAACAGTGGTTTTCCTCCTTCTACTGTAGATAAGGTCATTAGAAGGTCAACATACCAATGTTGTCTTATGGTAATTTTAACATGATTTATGTGGATAGAACAATAAGAACACTGCCTCAAAGAATCAAAGAACATCTCAATAACACAGATAAATCAACATCCCAAATAAAAATTTTAGACTTATGAATCCTTTAGAAGATCTTGAGATCTCCAAAGAAATGAAACTGAATCCTAATTGTTGCTTAATCACACAGATCAATCTCAATTGGAAGTATAAACCTCTTTTAAAATTATTGTGGGAGGCTTTAGAAGACAAAGAGTGACCTCATGCAATCTTAAATAAAATTATGTTTAGTTTAGTATTAATAATAACTTCAGATCGCTGTTACCTATCAGCCAGGGGGGTATCAAATTCTTTTTATATATTTAAATATTCAAAGGAAAAAATTTATGCTTCAAGACTATGTAATAAATTGGCACTTTATCTTTACATTAACGGTAGACAAACTGTTATACTATACTATATAGTGTTGGTAAACATCATATTGAACACAAATGGTTATTTGTCATATTGGTTCATTATTGTGAGTTTTTATTGTGGCCAGTAGCCACACAATAGTTTACTTTATGTCCGTGTATCCATAAAATGCACGTAAGACAAGATAACGAAATTATATTTTTAATATTTAATCAAAATCAATACACCAGAGTAGTTTTGGAAAGATCCGGCAATAGCTACTTTACCTGCATCAAACGTTGATACATGTTTCAATTGCTATTTATATATTTTTTTTGTTTCTAGGTAAACGTGGACGAAGTCTTGAAAATATATGTCCTGTAGGAGATCCACTTCGCATTAGTGACACTGTTCGTCCTTTCTTATGTGGTACTGATCCTGGAAAGCCACAGTGTCCGCCGTTGTATCAGTGCTTAGTTCAAACTGGTAAGTTAAACTAAGAATGCGCTAAGCTCTTAGATTTTCTTAGTTGAGCATATTACTTTTCCACATTAGATTACGTTTTAGACTAGGCATATCATCTACTTTAACGATAATCTAAGGAATCTAATACATAATAAATAAAAAGCTAATTTTGATTACCCTATCTATGCAGTTTTAATAAGTCTTTTAATTACATTTTTTTTTTTGTTTTTTTTTATGTCAATTGTCAAAAGTATTTTTTATAAAAAATATGTTTTAAACCATTTTGCTAACGATAAGCAAACTTAATGTTGTACAGTCTGTTGTTTGGTACAACCTTATGACTTTTATGAGAAAAGGCAGCAAATATTTGATTTCACGCAAACAAATCTTATGTATCTCTTGATACGTATTTCGACCTAATAGGTCTCGTCAGAAGAGCTATTCATAAGGTTTCTCAACGTGAAAAATCAATATTCTCTGCCTTTTAAGAAGCAACAATAACATGGCTTCGATACGGACGCAGTAGCGACATCTAATTAAACAATCGTAAAATAGTTTTCGAAACACAATTCAGATTTCTGCTTTATAATCTGAGCCTTCTAAGAATGAATGAGAAACTTTAAGTTTAAGTTGAGAAACCTTATGAATAGCTCTTCTGACGAGACCTATTAGGTCGAAATACGTATCAAGAGATACATAAGATTTGTTTGCGTGAAATCAAATATTTGCTGCCTTTTCTCATTTTGTTCGGATTTACTCTGTGGGAGTACAAGAAACACAATTCGCTAAGGATTTCTGCTTAGTTGTAAAAGACATGTCGTGGAATGCAAATTTTAGATTCCCCATGTCTCTTTTAACATCTTTTATCAACGTCTGTTTGCCTTGCAATTCTTAGAAGGCTCAGATTATAAAGCAGAAATCTGAATTGTGTTTCGAAAACTATTTTACGATTGTTTAATTAGATGTCGCTACTGCGTCCGTATCGAAGCCATGTTATTGTTGCTTCTTAAAAGGCAGAGAATATTGATTTTTCACGTTGAGAAACCTTATGAATAGCTCTTCTGACGAGACCTATTAGGTCGAAATACGTATCAAGAGATACATAAGATTTGTTTGCGTGAAATCAAATATTTGCTGCCTTTTCTCATTTTGTTCGGATTTACTCTGTGGGAGTACAAGAAACACAATTCGCTAAGGATTTCTGCTTAGTTGTAAAAGACATGTCGTGGAATGCAAATTTTAGATTCCCCATGTCTCTTTTAACATCTTTTATCAACGTCTGTTTGCCTTGCAATTCTTAGAAGGCTCAGATTATAAAGCAGAAATCTGAATTGTGTTTCGAAAACTATTTTACGATTGTCTTATGACTTTTATTACCACCACCGTTAAAGAAAAAATTTTATGATAGTAGCGGAGATTTGTAAGGTTCATTCCCACTTATGTAGAGCGTAGAATTAGACCAATTGGCAAGTCTAATTGGCACATCTCTCCAGATACTTTCTTTGCCACGGAGGTTGGCAGTTATCATTGTTATCCTTATCTTTAAGGTCGCTGTAGGGAAAAATTATATTGAATTCCATTCGAACCATTTTCTGATATTTCTCAAACAAGACATTCTTCTTCGTCCTTTGCTAGGTTCACCTTGAATCTTGCCCTGTATCATCAACTGTGGGATGTCTCATTTTTCATCACAGGTTATATGTTCCAAGTATTGGAACATAAACATTTCTTAATTTTTAATTAACAATAACAACAGATTTAACTATATCTGGCCAAGATATTTTTTAAATTCTTCGTTATGTCCACATTTCAAAAGCTTTCAATTTATTCAGGCAACGTTTATTAAGAGTTCATAACTCTGCACCAACAGAGTGAATCCTGAAAAAAATTACATTTTTAACACTACAAAAAGAACTTTATAGAAGTTTGATAATGATTTATTAATGATTTTAGGAAATGATTATGGAGTGTGCTGTCCAGCTTCGCTAAAAATACAGAAGACTGGTACCTGTCCTACAGAAATGGACGATAGTAGACAATGCGGTCAACTTTGTACACACGATTTGGAATGTCCTTCAGTTCAAAAATGTTGCAATACTGAACAGTGCGGATTTTCGTGTATTCATCCAAAGAACGTTACCGGTAAGTTTATGATTAGTTAAATAATGGTAAATATAATTTTGCTAGATCTACAGAATCTCTGATCGAAGCATTTTGATCATTAAGAGCATCTGCACTGAGAATGGGATTAACCCCCTCTGTGACTCAGTGGTAAGAGCGCCTACCTTTAAACCTAAAGGTCGTGAGTTCGAATCCCACCTGGGTGGAAATTTTCGTTTATAAAAAAAATAATGAATGAAATTAATTTCTATCCTTGTGTGATCGGTACTCACCGGAGGGACCGCAGACGTTCGGATACAATTAGCGTCTCTTAGCAAAGACAATGACGTCGACTTTGCTAAGTATCAAGACAATTACTCTACACACACACAAACACAGACACACACACTACATTAATAAACTTATATTGATTGAGACTGGCTGAATGACAATTGTCCAAGCCAAACATACACAAAAAAAATAGAAAAAAAAGAATGGGATGAAAAATAAACGCACAGAAAACCAAGTATATGTATTGTACTAGATCAGGCAACCAGATCAGATACCTAGACTATTAATTGATGATCTGGAAGTGGAAGGTGTGGATACCTTCGTTTACCTGGGCTCGCTGCTGACCAAAGACAACAATGTCAGCTAAGAAATTAAAAGAAGAATAGTTCTTGAGAATAAGTGCTAAGAATATTATGGCTTGAGGAAACAGATGGCCCCAAAACTATCTAGAAAGATTAAAGTTACCATATATAAAACACTAATAAATCCAGTGTTAACATATGCGTCAGAAACGTGGTTACTTACACCAAGAATTGTTTAAACGTTTCGAGAGAAAAATTCTTAGGAAATATGGAGGAGTCCAAGAACAGGTTTTGTGGCGAACACGGTTTGTGCCGACGTCGACGTGAAGCTATATTCTTGACAGATAGTGCCAAGTAAGAATTTTCAATTTTCCTATTCGGTAGGTAATATGAATTGCCTACCCTTTAGTAATTATAGAAATTAAAAGTATAAGTTGTTATTGGGCATTTTTAATGCAACGAATTACCCCTTGCACCGCTCAGCTCTTTCAAGTATGTAAATGAAACACAACCAGATATTTTTAACTCCTAAAGTACTAGTTTATTGAATATAATCTACAGATATGCATTGGTTATATTTTTACTCTACAACTAGACGAGCATTATTATCCTTTTAAAATTTTAGCTTTCTGTTACATTCTTGTAGCTTTTTTGTTTTATAGCATCTACATTTAAAAAAATAGTTAATTGACGGAGATTTATTTCTTATAGAATGTCTCCATCAACGAGCTCTCTCAGAAGTTCTATCAGTAAGCGAACGAGCTGGTAGAGGATATGTTCCACAATGTACGCAAGATGGTCAATTTGAAGCAAAACAGTGTAGCAGAAACGGACTAGTTTGCTGGTGCGTCGATCGACTGGGAAGAAAACTTAAAGGATCAATGGGTGCGGCCATAGATATAAATTGTTCAATTACTGATGGTAAGAATCGTTTACATCTCTACATTTTCATATGTTAAGTTTTTATACTTTTATTCACAAACTTTCTTCTGATGGTTTGAGATCTTTTTATGTTAATACAGATTTGACACTGTAATGTTTCTTGTAATGAAGATTTAGTTCAGGATATGACGGTTTTATGACAGGGTATACATCGGTTAGTGAAGCAATGGGATATGTACCTTAAGATGTTTCTGAGTCAAAGATGGTTTCAATTGAACAAGCCTCCTACATATCTTAAATATCCTGATACATCTGATACTTTGTTGATTGGTTGAAGAACTTGTAGGTCTTCTAAGTTGTCCGCATATCTGATGTTGTTTAGTCAATAACCATTTAGTAGAATACCTTTTTCAGTTTCGTGCGAAGCTTTGATAAATATTCTTTCAGAGTACAGATTAAAGATTAGAGGAGACAAAATACAGCCTTGCCTCACTCCACACATGATTTTCACATAGTCAGTGTGTTCACCTTCAACTCTGAGATTTGCTGTCTGATTCCAGTAAAGATTTTTAATCATTTTCAGTCGTTAATTCCTACCTCTTTTAGTATTGGCATCATGTTGGCGTAACCAACGAGACATGCGTATACGTCACAGTTGACGTCTCTGCATCTCTTGAATAAGTTTTACACTGAGAACAAAGCCTCAACTTTGATGATAAAGTTACTGGAATATTTTTGAGGTGTATGTCTACCAGATTCGTGAAAGAGTCTTAGATATTTTGTACATTAGTATCTATTCTCTTAATTCGCTATTTACGTAATGACATTAATATGTTTCTGTAAATTGTCCTTTGTTTTCGTTATAATTATCGTGTCATATAAAAAGCAGATGAAGCTACCTCATTTGTTAATTATTCTGTATCACATTTGGGAGCTATTTTGCCTCTTTTATATTATAGATTCTTGATGTTTAAACTAACAAAGGGTCGCATCTCTATCTCACTCTTTTGGAGTGGCTGTATTTTTTGTTTTTAGTGAATACTTGGAATTTTTTTGATCACAATAAAAGTTATATTTCCTTCACCTTATTTATGGCACCTTAAATACGTACAAAATATATTAATCATTCTACTACAGCTATTTGGTAATGTATTCATTTTAGCACGATACGAGGTTATGGGAAGAAGCTTAGATAAAAACGGCAAAGAGTGCGAACGATTGGAATGTGCACAAATTTGCGAATACGGTTTTAAACTGGACGAAGATGGATGCCACACGTGTAAATGTGATGATCCGTGTGATGGATTTATGTGTCCGGAAGATGAGGAATGTGTCAACGTTAAAGAAGCATCATGTAGCGAGTTTTTGTGTCCTTCAGTCCCAGTATGTAAGTATTTAAATTTTTTTTAAGAAATATGCGTAAGTTGCAAATTATTATTAAATAATTACGAGAAGGTCCATGTGGATGCATCTACGACTAGCCAATAAGAATACATTAATTGTTTTTTTTTTACATTAAGTAATGCGTGATTACTTTTTTATCCTAACCTTTCCATCCTAACTTAAACTGTTACTTGTTATCCAACAGTTCAGAGGGCAGATTACTGATTCTCAGTGCTTTGTTGATGTTCCTTCTCGTAATGCTTAATTAACTTCCTCAAGAATCGGTGGTTCTATCTCCGTATCTATCATTCCTTCTCTCTATATGCCGAAAATTCAGAGGCTGGAGGTTAAGCCAGTTGACCACTCTCATCTCGACGTTGAATATGTTTTAACATGCCTTACTTATGTTCTCCCAGTTTCACATAAATATGGAGCCACACCTAGACTTGCTCTAATATATCCAGTCTTAACTTTATCATTTTTTGTCATTTCACTTTTTCATGTAAGCATTTTCATTTTAACCATATATATTCGTTGTTCATATTTATTTTTAACTGTCCAATATTCATCAGTCTTTATTTTTTATCAGAATTTTTCTTGTACATACCTCTCACCTCTAGAGGGTGCGAAGAATCCCCTCGTCAACTACTATTGAGGTACAAGGAAGTGGACAAAGAATCCGAATATATGACAGGATAGTACGCATTGCCACCTGGAACGTACGCAGCTTATTCATGTCTGGAAAACTTGTAAACACTGAAGCCGAGATGAGAAAAATAAAAATAGACATCTTGGGGATGTATGAAGTAAGATGGCCTGGTTCAGGAAACCAAAAAACAAAAGATGGATAAATCTATTAGTCAGGAGGAACCGATCCAGAACATCAATATGTAACGGCTATATTAGTATCAGACAAAATTGCGCAGTCATAGACTTCATCCCTCTAAATTATAGAGTAGTAATGTTGAAATTAAGAACCCTTAGAAACCAAAATGTTATTCAAGTCTATGCTCCAATAAGTGACAAATCAAAAATGGCGAAATAACGATAATTATGGGTGACTTTAATGTCAAAATTGGTCGCCGAAGGAGGCAACATAGGACCATACAGACTCGGTACCATTGCGAAGCATTGTGCCCCCCAATTATAAAATTGGCAGAACCTTGGTCTGCCTGGCCTTTCGGCATACGACCTTTAGCGCTCCCACTGCCCCTACTAGTCCGAGACCAATTGGAGGTGGCACGATGCCGAAACATCGTGGGGCTCCACCTCCCCCGTAGTACCTGTGTTGCGGGTATGCCACCCTCCCGTGATTCCCTTCTTCGGGGGCGGAAGGGCACGCAGGTGGTAGAATACCACCTCGCACGAAGCCGTATTTTTATCTCCGCGAGCCGGACGGAGGGTCTCGGTACCAGAAACAATAAGGGAGATAGACTGGTACAATTCCGCGTAGAGAACAACGTGTTATTAGCCAACATCTTCTTCAAACATCATAGAAGGCTATATACTTGGAAATCGCCTGCAGAGACATAAGATAAAATTGTTAAAAATCGAATTGACTTTATTTTGCTCGATAACAACTTCAAGAAGTATATAAAATCTACTAAAACATATCCTGGAGCCTGGCATTCATAGCGATCACAATCCAGTTATAATGTCTATAGATTTCTTAAAGTTAAAAAGGAAAAAAGTTTCAAGAAAAATGTAACAACTGAAGAACCCTGAAAAGAAAAAGGAAATAAGTATCAAGGTTGAGAAAGAAATAGAAACGCTAGAAAACTTGGTACAGACAGATGTTGAAGTAACATGGACTGCTGTAAAATAACAAAGATACAAAAAGACGATATCGGGTTCACGAAAAACAACAGTAAACAAGAATGGATAACGCAAGAGATCATAAACCTTATGGACGTTAGATGAAAACATAAAACAAACCCAATAGAACACAAACGAGTCAATAAAATCACTAGAAAAAAATGCAGATAAGCTAAAGAAAACTGTATATCAACCAAATGCCTAGAAATTGAACAATTTCAGGAAAGATACGACCTTTATTATCCATAAACATTTTTTGACGATGATAGACCTTGTTCTCCACCATCCACGGATGATAGAATAAATGAAGAAGCTCCAAAAATAACAAAAGAAGAAGTATTTATGCAGTAAAAGTTTAGAAGAACGGAAAATTCACCGGTCCAGAAAATATAATGTCGAAATACTTTAATTAATTGCAGACAACGAAAGTAAAAGCCTCGACTTAATAACAGCACTATTCAATAAGATATATGACACAGGTAAAATACCAACAGACTGGCTCACTGGCTACAATGGTACTCCTCCTCCTCCTCCTCCTCCGTGATGACATTCTAAATATTATTGGCTTGCTGCCTCCATTGGCTGTGATACTGTGCTATATAGATGGCTTCATGTCAGAATTTTCCCACCAAAGTCTTCATTTGGTCTACCTATCGTGTTAGAGATCTTTCTTTTGGTTTTCGGCCTTCTACCTTTTCTTCTACTACCAATAGCTCCATAGTCTCCGTTCTTCTACCTATGTGGTCGAAGTTAATTAGATATGCTCGGTTTTGCTTTTATTTTTATGGCACTACCATAGTGTAAATTGTACTAAAAACATTTCCGTTTGTAGTAATTTACTTTATGGTAGTGTTCATGTCCGATTGTTCCTTATAACTGAGTCCTTAGTCTCTAAACGATTTGAATTTTGTGCATAATTAAAACCATTCAATAATTTAGGTCGTCCAAAAGCAGTCTACGCCAATCCTTGCGAAACGGGCACTCCACTGACAGATGATCTTAGAGGAGCACCAGTAGCATGCGCACTGAGATCAGAAAATGGAATTATCTGTCCTTCTACGTATGAGTGTACTGCTGTTGCTGGATCTACCCAAGCTGTTTGCTGTCCAATTGCTGAAGAAGAACTAGAGGCAGATGCGTCTGAAGATTATAGTCAAATGGATATGCGGCCACAAACAAGTAAGAGGTTTTGTTCTAGTTTTTAATATATTTTCGTATTAATGTTCTTTAATTTTAGTGTGTGAGTATCTTCATGAGTTTTCTGAGAGTATGGAGGGTACCAGAGAAGGAATGTCATTGGCTCTTCCTACACCAGAGTGTGATTCAAATGGCAACTACATCGCAACACAATGTTCACGAGGAGATTGTTGGTGTGTTGACAATTTTGGAACGGAAATACCCAAAACTAAAGGCAAAGGTAGGTAATTTAACCAGTTAATATATTCTTTACACCTTTATTACACTTATGGGGCCACTCTTCAGATATATCAAAAATAAAGTTCCTAATGTCTCCCTGCATCAAATATAAATATAGATATTCCAGTCTTCTAGCATTTATATATTACTTGTTCATCGAAACACTTAATTATTTACTATTTAAATGGGAATAAGCCACTAATAAAGGTTAAAGTACGTTTATTGACGTTTCAATTTCTACTTCACTCAATTATTTGACTGAAGTGATTCGACTAACAGACTTAAAAAAATTAAATACTAAACAATCTCTAACAATGGAAGCAAATCCAGTAGAAAGAGATGAATGAATAGACTTTGAATTTCTTTTTGTAATAAAAATTTAAATTTGTCATTTCTTAGGCATATTTAGGCATCACATTTGTTGCCAAAAATCAAAACCGAAATTTCATGCGATAGGTTTTAAAGATCATAAATTCCCTTCTTATCAAGCAGAAGAATTGATGACATGATAACGGGAGTGGCAGCTGGGCTGCTCTTTCATGCAGCGACACCGGTAAACTCTCTATAGAGACAAAAATATTAAATTTTCCATAAAGCAAAATACGACTTTCCACTACAAAAACTGTATTTAAGAAAACTAATTATTTAACGTCTGCTGCCATCGTGATACGAAACTGAAATGGCCCAAAACTTGGCGTCTGGCTTTTACATACCCTTTTACCAGACCACTATAAATATTTTTAGTAGATAAGTGAGTCTGTATTTATAATACGTAATTAGTTTCATGGGAAGTACTAAGTTCTATTAACTTTAAACTTTTAACTTATTTACTCACAGAAAAAATTAATTATGAAAGGAAACTGAAGTACGTAGAGGCAATAAAAATAGTCTACGTGATATTATAGGTACAGCACAACAAAAATTTTAAGGGCCGTTTTTAATAGAAAAATGCTATAATTCTGCGAGCAATGATTTTGTAGTGCCTTTGTGAGAATTATTTTGATATCTAATTTAAATGCATTACTAATTCTGAATATCCGTTCATCATTTTTAATAACATAAGTTTTTATATTCTTTCAGAATCTCCAATCAAAAATTGTACGGAGTTGAGAGAAACTATGGATTGTTTAGATTTAACCTGCAGGATGGGCTGCGAATACGGGTTCATCTTAGATGAAGATAGTGGTTGTCCTCAATGTCAGTGCAGAGATCCTTGCAATGGCATCGGTTGTAATGAAGACGAACAATGCCAATTAGTAGAAGTTAGCTGCAAAGATCATTACTGTCCGCCTGTACCAGCATGTAAGTATATATAAAGTATTAGTTATTCATGCGCTATTCTGTCCTTTTTTGGACGTGCACCTCTTTGCCGTGCAGGGTTGCTTAGGTTCTCCGGGGTTCGCTCGTGCAGCCCAAACCACACTTCGTGCAGGTGAGGATAGGAATTGAGTAGGATAGGCTTAAGATGCTAACTGGAAACAGCATCTTGTATTACGCCTCACTACTCCTTTTGAACCCCATGTTAAGTTTCACTACTTGCTCTTTAATCTGTACCACTTTGCCACAAAGTTGCCACACTGTACCAATTTGCCACAAGGTACTTTTCCATTCATTAATATTTTAGAGATATTACAGTTTTTTATACAATATTTGTCATCAAACCAATGTGATTTGCCTTTATTTCTTGATTTGTAGTTTACCTTTTATAAGTTGTTCCTAATATACTTCTCCTTATTCCTTGAGCCCTTGTCAGGTCGTGGTGACAAGCTTGCTGCCTCCATTGAATGCTACCTAGTGCCAGGTGGACAGCTTCATCTAGAGATTTTCTCACCAGTGTCTTCATTTAGTTTGTCCACCTTGTTGAAGATCTTCCTCTCGGTCTTCGGCCTTCTACCTTTCCTTGTACTGCCAGTAGTTCCATAGTCTTCGTTTTTTTGGCTGTACCTTCGGCGTGACCGAACTAATTTAGGTATGTTTGGTTTACTTTTTTCAATATCCTGTCTTTTATATTATGGCCTTCCAGAATTGACAAGTAGGTTCTATGTTCTATCCAGGACACGCGTAATTTTTTTTCTGTATGCCCATATTTCCACAGCTTCAATCTTACTTCTATCGATTTTTTGAGAGTCCATATTTCAACCGGGTATGTAACCGTGGGAAAAATAAGAGCATTGATAAAAGTGAGTTTTGTCTTCCTCGTAATTTTCGGTTTTTCTAAATTTTAATTAATTTGGCAGATTTTATAAAAGATTTTAAATTACTGTACGACAAAGAAGCAATATCAACAAAAAATTTGTTCAATAAACTTTATTTTTACGTTTTAGGATTTTACTTAATTACTTTTATACATCAATTATTCTCTATTTTCAGGTTTGCCGAAAAAGGTGGGCCAATGCCCTTATCTAGTTCCGGCATCGACAACTTCCTGCGATTTCGAATGCAATTCGGATATGGCATGTAGTGGAAATAAAAGATGTTGTTCGAATGGTTGTGGAACGCAGTGTATTGAACCTCTCCTCCTAACAGGTATGTAAATATATAAATTTACCACTGGTACAAATCAATTTGATTTATGTTAAACAGAGCGATATGTTTGAAATGTGTAATAAAATAAAGAGTCCACGACATTCCTCTGCAATAATTTAAAACTTAGTTAAATACCTAATAAATTTTATGTACAGTTTCCGCGAGAATAAATCACTTCTTAATAGAATGTTAGTAATTATTTTGGGTTTATGTCTTCTGAAATAGATATTTTGTAAACTAAGGGACCTAGGTGAAAAATTTATTATTTGCTATTAAAGGAATGCTTTGGTTATTGGTCAGTGTAGTAGTATCTGGGGGCTCAGGAGACTGAAACCTCGAAAGCCCTGAAGAAGACATCAAAGAAGATGTCGAAAGCTCGGTACAATGATAATCGACGCGGATTATATATATATATATATATATATATATATATATATATATATATATATATTATTTGAATTTTAGGTTGCCAGCATCAAAAAGCCCTAGCGCAACACCAGGCTCACGAATCAGGTATACCAGCCGGAAAAGTCTACATACCCGTCTGTAAGGACGACGGTAACTACCAACCAAAACAATGTAATCCTGGTAGTGGCGATTGTTGGTGCGTTGATTCTGCAGGTTTCGAATTATCTGAAACGCGAACCAAATCCACTAAAAAACTATCTTGTGACCCACCACCGGAATCTAAATGCCCAATGTACAAATGTAAAGAGAACTGTGAACATGGTAAGTATCCAAATTATAATTAGAATTAAGATAATTAGGAAAAAAAGTATCATATATCCTTCCTTCGTATTTATTAAGGTTTCGTTTCTCTAGTTCGTCTTTTCTTAAGTTTTCTAGTAAAGATAAGTTTTTTATTCCAACACTAACAGTTTAAAAAGCGTTTCAAAGGTAATATAATTTATTAAATGAGAAATACAATAACGGAAAACAAAATTCTGAAACTAAAATACTAGGTACTTACTGTTTATATTCTTTGAATTTGCTCTATTGTCCATATATTACTGGAATGCATAGCTGGTGATATAGGCCAGGGAACTAAGCAAAAAAAGTACCCTGTTTTTGACACTCGTCCGGCCAGGCAAACGACAGTTGTTTTGAGTAGTGTGGACCTCTGTAATAAAAACCTATATGTTTCCTGCAGTCGATTTTTTGGACTTAATTAGTTATTAACAAATTAAGTTCAAAAAACGGAAAATTTTTGCTTTTTTCGGCTATCAGCAAAAAGTGAAGCAATTTAAACAAATTTTAGAAGAAAGGAAACTTATAAGTTACATAAAAACCTTCAAAATGGCGTTTTTAAAATGTTTCTATCCTTATTTGTTGCTTAGAAAGTTGCAAAATAAGTCAAAAATTTCGGTTTTTTATAAATGTTAATAACTTTTTTGAAAATAAACGTATGATATTTATATTTCATGGAATGATGTGTCTTGTAGTGCTTAAAATAGGGTTAAAATTTCAAAGTGATCGGTCTAATAGTTTAAAAGTTATTTTATTTGTTTATCCCAAATTAACATTTTTTGCAACAATATAAGTCAGAAATTTATACAGTTTTAGAAACTGTAAGGGTTGTTTCTGGTAGAAGAAGACTTAGACGTTATTTACATTAATGAAAAATATAGAAATAAAATAAAAAATATAAGTTTGGTCTGCCACTATCTTATAGAACACCCTGTAAGATTGTAACTAATTTTAAAATGTCGAGTGTAAAGCTGTCTACAAGTTTTGTTAATAACTTTTTTTGTAATTTTTACTAAAACAGATGTACTGAGCTTCCTCACACTAATCAATCACCCAGAAGAGTTATCAGAAAAATTTTCAAAACAAATTTTCTACCAAGTAACCAAAAACAAAATTTGATTAATTTATTAATGTTCTGTATTCTGAGAAAGATTTCCGAAGTAGAAATCGAAATGTCAAAAATAAACTTATTATAAACTTAAATTGTGGCTTATTCCCCAAAATATATCAAATGACAAGTACTTCTGTTTTACATTCAAACTTAACTTAAATACTACTAAAAAAAATTAAAAAAATTGTTTTTAAACAAATTATGTGGTTTATTTGACAATTTATTTATTGAAATAATGCATATTCGTAATGTACGCAAAAAGTACATACAAGTTCAAAAAAAAAACGTTGAAATACATAAAAAAGGAACAGAGATACAGTTAACAGCGCCTTCCCCCTCCCTTCAGCTCCCGAGAGTTTCAAAGCCGACGGATTTTACATACATTTTGAAATTTTAAAATTTAGTAGTTTAAAACTATAATGTATATTCTTTCAAATAGCGCTAATTATATTTCTTAATTGTTATAAACAAAGGTGCTATGAATTAAATAAAAAAAGAGGCTAACTTTGTACCAAATTATTTTGGGACAAACTTTTTTTTATTTAAATTTGTCAAAAAATTCAAGCTTTTTAAATATGTAAAAATAATATTTTTACAGTCAATGGTTCAAAAGTTATTCTAATTGTTTATAAGCAAAAAAATCGACATGTTTTTGCAAAATTATTTTGCAATATTTAAAATTAATTTTCTTAATTTTTTTTTAATTTAAATAATAAAACAAGTCTTTTTCTACCAGAAACAACCTTTACAATTTCTAAAACTGTATAAATTTCTGACTTATATTGTTGCAAAAAATGTTAATTTGGGATAAACAAATAAAATAACTTTTAAACTATTAGACCGAACACTTTGAAATTTAAACCCTATTTTAAGCACTACAAGACACATCATTCCATAAAATATAAATATTATAAGTTTATTTTCAAAAAAGTTATTAACATTTAAAAAAAACCGAAATTTTTGACTTATTTTGCAACTTTCTAAGCAACAAATAAGGATAGAAACTTTTTATATAACTTATAAGTTTTTCCTCCTCTAAAATTTGTTTTAAATTGCTTCACTTTTTGCTGATAGACGAAAAAAGCAAAAATTTTCCCTTTTTTGACCTTAATTTGTTAATAACTAATTAAGTCCAAAAAATCGACTGCAGGAAACATATAGGTTTTTGTTACAGAGGTCCATACTACTCAAAACAACTGTCGTCTGCCTGGCCGGACGAGTGTCATGAAAAAATGCTTATTTCCCTGGGCTAATATAGCAACCCTGGGTGCCTAAGACTCCCAAGCAACTATGCTAGAACCAAAATTTCTTTATTGCTGATTGAAACAAAAATGATGTTTTAAGGCACTATTGACTTATTATGCCACCAGCTAGACAAATCCTTGATGTCGGGTTTTTCTAGAACCATAAATTATGGGCTCTTGACCAATGAACTGCCATATGTATTTGCCATTCGCTTGACTTCTGGAGTGAAGGTATTTGGATAATTCTCTCCTCTTTTCAATTAGACATTATTTTTGTTTATTTTAGTAAGACTGGTGAGTTGTCAGAGTAGTACGTTATTACTTCTAGGACTGCTTCATAAAAATTTCAAAGAATAGAATAATTTCGATTAAACCTGTCTTACTAAATATGCTTGTTCTTCATCTAAAGGTGCCTATCTTGCTATGATACACTGCAGCCAGAAATAGATCACCTGACGTTTACGGCCTAGACCAGTCAATTTCCTAATGGTGCTGAATATTCTAACTTATTATGGTTTATATATTTTAGGCTACGAAATTGACAAGAACGGCTGTAGAACTTGCGAGTGCATCGATCCATGTTCGAAGATAACATGCAGAGGAGAAGGAGAGACATGCAGGCTAGTAGCAGTAGAATGCGTCAACTTGCCTTGTCCTCCCGTGCCAATGTGTCTTCCCAAAAAAGAAAACCCATGCCAAAATGGTGAACCATTAAAACTGGGAAGTACCGAAGAACTTGTAACTTGTGGACCTGATTATGAAAACTGTCCGTCGTCTCACAAATGTCAATTAAGCCCTGTTGGAGAATATGCCGTATGTTGCCCCAAACCGAGTAAGTATTTAGCTTTACATAAAGTGGGTAATAAGAGTGTCTAAATTTAAATATTATTTTAGGAGATGTGTGCTTTGAACCATTAGATGCAGGAGCATGTATTGATGAAACCGAAGTCAGAAATTTAACGAGATTCTTCTTTAACTCAAAAACTAATAAATGTGAACAATTTATATTTAAAGGATGTCAAGGGAACCATAATAATTTCCATACAGAAAATATGTGCAACATAGTTTGTCCAGGTACAGCAGTATTGTTTAATAAACACTAATTTTATAACGTTAATTAATTAAGTATACTCGTACAGTCAATTCAATTCTCAATTCTCAGGAAAAAATCTCTTTTACTCTTTTTGAAGTATATTGTATATGATATATAGATCCAACAAACCGAATGTTTCTCTAATTCTTCTTCTTTAAGTTCCATCTCCGCGACGAAGGTTGGCAATCATCATGGCTATTCTGACCTTCGAGGCAGCTGCTCTGGCCAATTGCCTTGAGCTACAACCAAACCACTCCCTCAGGTTCATCAACCAGGAAACGCGTATTTTTCCTACGCTTCTCCTACCCTCTATTTTTCCTTAAATTATGAGTCTCAAGATGTTGTATCCTTCGCCTCTCATCACATGTCCAAGATATTGCAATTTTCCTTCTTTTATTGTATTTTCCATTTCTCTCTCTCTCTACATATTCTCCTTAACACTTCTGTATTCGTGACTATATCTACCCATGGAATCCTTAACAATCTTCTAAAGGTCCACATTTCAAACGCGTTATGTTGATTTATTGTATTCTGGTTTAATGTCTATGATTCAGCTCCATAGTAGAGTACACTGTGTACATAGCATTTAATTAGCCTTATTCTGAGGGCCAATGTCAGATCTTTGCTGCATAAAATCTCTCCAAACCAAACCACTCTCTCAGATTCTTCAACCAGGAAACACGTCTTCTTCCTACGCTTCTCCTACCCTCTATTTTTCCTTGAACTATGAATCTCAAGATGTTGTATCTTTCGCCTCTCATCACATGTCCGAGATATTGCAATTTTTTTTCTTTTATTGTATTTTCCATTTCCCTCTCTCTGTCTATTCTCCTTCATCTAGAGCCTATCCTCTCCAATAACTACCATCAAACTAATCACACAGGTTTTCTTATAAATACTCACTTTACATCTATCAATCTCTTATCACAATCAGTTTCAGTATCCTCAGCTTACATCTTTACATTCATCTCCTATTTCCTTTTCTTTCTCTTTTATTTCTTTTTCCTTGATTCATCTTCCATAAATTTCAAACCAACTTTTATCTATACTTACTTCATACAAGGAAACAATTAGGTAACAACATTGTTTTTATCGCCTGTAAAATGATTTATTAATTTCAACTACCTAACTTAAATTTTGCCTTGCCCTGGTATACCAAATGTATTTTGCATCACAGTCACTCATTGTTTTACATTCTCCCACCTTTTTAAAATACCAAAAATTGCTATTGATTCTACTACACACTAAACACAATTCTTCACTAAAAACGGCCTATTCACAAACTTAAGCACAATGACTTTTGCTCCCACTACATCATTCCACTTGACATTGACGGGTACTAACTGATTTTTCATACCATTACCATCTGTCTACATAGTACATACCCCCCTTGGGTATGTATTGTGATCTTGGGTATGTATTGTGATCTTTCTATCAGTTAGCCCTAGACTCAGCACAGATCAGAGGTAATGTAAGTCAATAAAACCTCACCAACTACAGGGGGTCATGTAAGATGTCCCCATTTTCAGTTTTTGGTAATCAACAAATTAACAGTCTATTGAATTTACCTTCATAAACACTATGAGGATTGTTTTTTAATACGGAGTTCCTTCATGTTTTCATGTGGCCATACAATGTTTTTTGACAACTTTTTATATAAGTAGTAAAAAACCAACGTGTTCTTTTTACATATTTAAATTTTAACTTACTTGTTTTTTAATATTGGTATTTTTACTCTCTCTTTTAGTTAACTGATGATGGAATGATTCAATTCCGAAAAGATCTTCTTTAAAATAAAAAATTTTAAGATACCTTAATACACACGACCACCACGTGCTTTGTTAATGTCAGCATTTCACTTGGAATGATTCCTGTGAAATATATTGTGTTCAGTAGTTGGACTAAAAGATCTTTGTTTTTTTTTATTGACCAGTTTTAGCAATCCACTTGGTATTTCATCTGGACCAGCAGCTTTATTATTTTTCATGGACTTTACTGCGTGCATAACTTCTGACTTTGGTATTTCGGGTCACTCGTCTGTGACTGGTAGCTCTTTTGAAGCGACAGACTCAGTAAAACACAGGTTGACATAAAAATAAATCTATTAATTCTAACGTATGTATAAAAATAAAATATATTCTGTATCCCCGCCTGGATCCCGCGAGAGTAAATTCCCCGGCGGACGTCTGTAAAAGAAAAAAAATTATTATTACTAACAAAAAATGAAATACGCGAATTCGATCGCACGAAGACTTATACTCGCTTTCACCTCAGTCCAGCGGAAACGCCAAACATTCTCGCAATCAAAATATTCGATGCTGCAGATCCACGTTATACTCTGAGTCAGAGTTGACGGTAAAGCCGGCCACTCACGGTACAGCGGTGTCGTTCGACATAATCGGACAGCGGCGTTGTTCAATTTGTTGGTATATCTGGTGCGCCCACACACCATACTGCGCCGCAGTATTTGTTCGGTTCTCGACCATGTCAAATTAAACAATCTTTTTAGTCGTTTACTTTGTGTATAACTAAGCGTAAAAAGAAACCTAAAATAAAACGTAGATTTTGGTGCAAAGAATCCAAGATTTTGGTGCAAAATAAATCTCGTCTGCCCCTGCATCCGATTTACTGGACTACAATGCTAATTTTAATTCGCTTTTATAGGATGTTCTACAATTGTTAATTTTTTTTCTTATATACTCTTCATTCGCATCTTTGTTTACTTCTTGGAACTTTAAAACTAGAATGTCCATTGCCTGTTTTCGGGCGTTTCTATCGTGATACGTTTTCCCTTTTATTCGCTATAAGCATTCTTGTTCTTTATATAAAAAACTCTCTTTCAAAAAACTCTCTTAAAAAATTCTCGCTAAATCAAGCCATATCAATTTTCTATATGATCAAAGCAAGTGTGTAGTTAAAAATGTATTTTTGCAGTATCGACAAATTGTAAACGGTCACACACGCTCAACAAATTGATGAGATCAACTCTGCAGTACTGCAGCAGACAGGCCAGTCGGTCTGCGGTCAAATTGTACGATTTCATTGGATGCACGGTCACACACGATCAAAATCCTTATCAATTCGTCGAACTCGACGAAGTTGAACAACGCCGCTGTATCGTGAGTGGTCGGCTTAACGTTCAATCCTCACTGCGGAAGTCTCTCTGTCCGGGTTGGCTCTCAGTTTCAATACATTAGTGAGCCAGGGAGCCTAGAGCGTTATTCACAAGACTTATTTAATTCCGCCAGTCGCTCGCTTTTAATAGCCTCTCCGGACCCCACCTCATCGTCTCGTCGTGGAAATGGATGCGTGATTATCGACACTTCCACGGTTCGAACTGTTGAACGTTCAGCGTTACATATCTTTATTCTGATTATCTTCATATATATTTTCCTGTCTTTGGTATATATATGGTATATAATAAATCCTATATATATTCTTTTCATCTACTTAATTTTTGTTCCGTCTCCACTAATATTTGAGTAATATTTATTAACAAAAATTGACTCTGCGATATAAATATTTAATGAAAGAATATAGGTGAATGAGAGAGAGAATATATTCATTGTCTGTTTTCGTTTAGATGATATTAAACATGTTAAACTTCAAGCCAGATATGTTTTGTGACTGCCTTTTAAAATGATGCTTACCTTATATTATCAATTGGCCATTGGCATTGTGACAGGTGTTCATAGGACTGTAGAAAGTGAAAAAAATTGTCAAATTTTGATACAATAAAATTTTATTACAGTTGTAATATTTTTTTGCGTTTTGATGAGAATTTTTTTCCAATATAAATATTTATGTTTTTAGTATTAACTCAGTGCGAACGTCTCAGAGAAAAGAACCAGAAAGCTGCTGAGCATTACAAGAAACCAACGTTCACTCCTAGGTGTGAACCCACAACTGGAGCTTGGCAAGCTGTTCAATGCCTGGAACACGTTGGCGTTTGTTGGTGTGTCACACCACAAGGAGAGCCCTTGAAGGGTACTCTAACCAGAGGAGCAGAACCAGAGTGTAACTTTAGACAAGCAAGGCATTGGGCGACGGATAGGTCCGATTTCGTTTCAGAAGCTGACTTGGGTGAGTTACAATTGGGATTTAGTTTTCTTAATTTATAATGGATTTAAATATATTCAATGCAATGATGTTTCAAATGATCTGTTTCAGTTTTGGAAGAATTAATGATGCAAATTGGATCATTTGACGATGAAGACGAACCGTCAGATATGAAACTCGATGACGAAATGATGAAATGGGAGGTACCGTCTAAGGGTAGATGTCAATCTCTTGGTGGTCAATGTGACGATGAAGGAAAATTCTTACCTACTCAGTGTGAAGAAGAAACATGTTGGTGTGTTGATGAGGCTGGAAACCAACTACCTAATACCAGCACTTTTATAAAAGGAGAAAGATTGTGCGGTAAGATTGTTTTGTATGGTTTATACTATACAATTTAGATATAGTGAAATTAAGAACGATGTCATGTGACAAAAATAGGTACATCATTATTTTAACTTGTGAAATGTTTTCAAAAAGACAGTCCTTAATTATTACATAAAGGCTATAGCGGGATAAGATGGTCAAACGTGTCCCCGCATCGATCAGCACCGCGACTTGTTCTTTCAATAAAGCATATAAAAACATAACTTCATACAATTTTTGAGTTTTCCAGAGCCCACTAGAACCTCTTAAATCTAAAAAAAAAGCGTTTTTTCGACTTTATTTTTTTCTGGACGCAATTTTGCTTTAAAAAATCTGAAAAAATTCACGAAGATGTACCTCTCAAATACAAAATGATCTGACTTTTTTCAAATTTTTATATTGAAAATTGAGCTCAGAAAAAATCGGCTATGTTAATAATTTTTGGCTAACTTTTAAATAGTAATTTTTTATGTATTTTTTTTTCGTTCTTTTAAATGAATAAATAATTTCGTTCGTTTTCAATTTCTGAGCGGAAAGCATCGAAAAGTCAAAAAAATTGTTGCTTTACTCATTTATTTGCACATAACCTCAAAACTCAGTTAATATTTCAATATTTTTCAACATTTTTTCTTCCACATTATCAAAATCTATTGTTAAAGTCCCCATTTAACTCTTTTACAAAGATACAATTTGAAAATACCACGTTTTTTATCCTTTTCGCACTTTTTTTACCTTACCTCAAAATCAGATAGTTAGATGTATGGTTTTCAATCTATTTTCTTACGGGTTATAAATAATCATTGTTAAAATAATCTTTTTTAACGTACGAATTCTCAAATTGCAAAAAAACACGATTTTTTCTAATATTTTCACACTTTATTGGCTCATCACCTTAAAATCTAGTAGCTAATTGATCGAATTTCCGCGTATTTTTGATCGCACCCTTTAATTTTGTTATACCACTTGTCTTTTTTGTTCAATTTGAGAATTTGTAATATAAAAATGATTATTTTAACAATGATTATTCGTAACCCGTAAGAAAATAGATGGAAAAGCATACATCTAACTATCTGATTTTGAGGTAAGGTAAAAAAGTGCGAAAGGATAAAAAACGTGGTATTTTTGAAATTTATCTTTATGAAAGAGTTAAATGGGGAATTTTAGAATAGATTTTGATAATGTGGAAGAAAAAATGTTTGAAAAATGTTGAATTACCAACTAAGTTTTGAGGTTATGTGCAAATAAATGAGTAAAAAACAATTTTTTTGATTTTTCGATGCTTTCCGCTCAGAAATTGAAAATTCTGCCTTGGCCATTTAAAAGAACGAAAAAAATACATAAAAAATTACTATTTAAAAGTTAGCCAAAAATTATTAACATAACCTAAAAAATTATTGAAAATTTCAATGATTTTTCCTGAGCTCAATTTTCAATATAAAAATTTGAAAAAAATCAGGCTATTTTGTATTCGAAAGATACATCTTCATGAATTTTTTCAGATTTTTTAAACTAAAATTGCGTCCAGAAAAAAAATAAAGTCGAAAAAAGCTTATTTTTTAGATTTAAGAGGTTCTATGAGCTCTGGGAAGCTAAAAATTTTTATAAAAGGTTTTCATGTTTTTATATGCTTTATTGAAAGCACAAGTCGCGGTGCTGCTCGGTGCGGGACACTTTTGACCATATTATCCCGCTATAGCCTTTAAGATTATCTGATAACAAGTATACCTATTAAAAGTAGTTTGAAGTGATCATCCAGCCTTCTGAGTTCAAAGTTGAACATAAGCCTTCCCTAATTTCTTTCAGTTATGTCGGTATTGGGCTTCTGTTTGTTATTATGTTTATTAATTTAACGAATCAGCATCAGTATGAACATTTTTACCACATTTAATATTTCGTAGAGAAATATATTTTGAAAATTGTGTCTTAAACTTGTAACAGGAAATACAATTTAAATTTGACACTTTTAATGTTGCTTAAATTTACATAACGCTTCTTTTACTTTTTTTATTCAACAAAATATATACCTATATATTTATGTAAGAGATATAATATATACAAAATATATTTTTAGTGACTACACCCGTGGAAAAGGCAGAGGTAACGCTTGGATTTAGAGGAGAATTCGATGACATATCAGCCATTCCGGTTGTCAATCAAATAACAAAAGTTATCAAAAGTCTTCATGGAAACATTAACAGCGAAGGAATAAAAGCATCCACCACACCTGATGCTCTGTATATTAAATTCTCACTAATTGGTAGCAATAAAGTTGACATCGCATACAAACTTGAACAAATGGTAAGCTTATACATATATATTACCAAGAATATTTTAATTCATTTATTTTCTTTCTTTTAGATTATGCAACAAAGATTACCAGGCTTGACAGCAGACATAACAAGATCCAGAGTAATTCACAAACTTCTTTCGCAAGACGGAAATAATTCAGATAATCTGATCGCATTGGAACAACGGGAAGTTGTTGCTCAATCGCCGGTATCTGTTGTTGTTCCCTACCACACTGCGCTAATTGTAACGGCAGCAGCTTCCGCGTTTGTTATTTGTGTTTTGACTCTTTTGGTGCTCCTGTATAGAAGAAAAGTAAGTCATTATAACTTCGTATGCACTTCTAATTGAAGAGATGTAAGAAATATCTTTTACTTCAATGCTTACGACGATCATCATCTTCATTACCATCACCATTATTAACTACATTATTATCTGTACCACCCACAGTGAAGAACTATGCTTTCCTTAACATTTTTGCCGTATTTAGTTACTAGAATTATTTAAATACTTAAAAATTTAGGTAAAAAGAAATAAAATAAGACTTAGATACTCACAATCAATTTAAATTTACCACCAAAACGACCAGTTTCGCTTACTACACTTTGCTAAGCATCTTCAGGTCTAACGGTATCAAGTAAATTAAATGCTGAAATTACAAAAGCCCACATTAGGGTGCTGATTATAGTCTTATTTGATTTCTTTTTACCTATTTGAAATGGACTCACACAGGCAACACATTCATGACTTAATGAATCCTTTCATCCTTTCAATGAATCCTCTATACCTATATATAATATGAATATTTACTTTTTAGATGACCAACAGTTTGAATCCGCAAAAAATTCCCCCAGAAAACAGATTTATAACAGCTACCAACCAACCAATATACATTGAGCTGCCTAACGAAAAAGGACTCTTACAAACAAAATCCAGCATAAGCAACACCTAATATTCTTTGGATGTTACTAGCAATAATTGTAATATAGTACCTTACTACAATAATTTTGAAGAACAATTATTAATATGCCATTTTATAAGAACCTTTTGTGATTAGAAAGTTAATTATAAGACTTCATAGTGTGTATTTTCTTGTACAGTTTAACCTATACGGCTGTCTTTAAGTTATTTATGAAAATAAATTCTGTATATAAGTTTAACTTTAATTTTTTTACAACACCAAATCAGGTAGGTACCCAACACCCACACTACCCAGGAAAGCTGGGAAAGAAACTGCAAATATCAAGAAAACGAAATACATGTATAATGCGGGAATTCAACAAAATCTGGCAAAAAACCGACGATGGCAAATTAGACGAAGCAATTAAACATAGAAATAACCAGGGAAGACAAGCCATTAGACAATTAAACAGTGTATTGTGGGACAAAACAATTCCCAAAGAAAACAAACACAAAATCTATAACAGTATGTATTATAAAAAGCATTGTTATATATGGAAGTGAAGTATGGTCACTAAAGGAAAAAACTTAAAAGCATTAGAAGCAATATAAATGAACTTCAATTTACTGAAATACCATATTGATCTACTTAAAAATATGTAATGATAAAATCATGTTCAAAAAATGATTATTATGTCAGTGTTCAATTATACATTTTGAAAAAAAAAATTTATTGATATACATCCATTATTCTCAATCGACTGAAGAAATGAAATATGACCTAGCAACCTTTAACAAGGATCTACAGACCGAGCGTGTCTTATAAAATCTGCTCATATATGTGTCTTATAATTTGCCAAATTTAAATGTAATCGTTTCTACTCATTCATATTAATATTATAATGTATAATATATTATATATTACTATGGAACATATTGACGACAATGGGTGTACCTAAACACTTGACTCACCTTATTAGCAAACTGTATCAAGATAACCTGGCATATATTCGAATGCACGGATATCTGTCTGACAAATGCACTTTGGAGAAGGGAGTACGCCAAGGATGCGTTTTATCTCCCTTATTATTTAACATCTATTCGGAGTTCATAATGCGCAGAGTTTTGGATGGTTGGGAGGGAGGAGTAAACCTAGGTGGTGTTAAGATATCTAACTTGCGTTTCGCAGACGACACTACACTTCTAGCTTCTACTCCAGAAGAAATTACTAAATTATTAAAAAAACTCGAGGTAGAAAGTGCTAAATTTGGACTCATGGTTAACTACAACAAAACCAAAATCATGGTTATTGATCGCCAACAACAGTTTCCTGAAACCCAAACTATTGCGGGATGCGAGGTAGTCTCATCTATGATATATCTTGGAGCTCTAGTAAACAACACAGGCAGTTGTGAATCCGAAATTAGAAGACGCATTCAACTAGCAAGAGCAGCAACGAGTGAACTAAACGGGGTCTGGCGTGATCGTCACATTACTATGACAAACAAAAAGAGACTCGTTTCAACTCTGGTCTTTGCCATATTTTACTATGCATGCGAGACATGGACAGTCAAAGAATCAGATCGACGACGTATAGACGCCTTTGAAATGTGGACATGGAGACGCCTGCTTCGAATTCCATGGACGGCTCGCCGTACAAATATCTCGGTTCTGGATGAAATTAAACCGGATCAGCGTCTCTCTAGTACCGTTTACTCTAGGATTTTAAAGTTCTTTGGCCATATCCATCGAAATGATCACAAAATGGAGCGGTTGGTGGTCCAAGGAAGGCCTCAGACTCAACGCCAACGCGGAAGATCTCCACAGCGATGGGCGGATATTACTAAAAAGCTTCTCAATAAACAGTATACTGAGGCAATACATATAACTGATGACCGCGACCAGTGGAGAAATATTATCAATCAAACTGTCCGAGCTGCTGAAGCCCAATTATGAACCACAACACATCTACTAAGATGTTAATGACTGTGATGATGATAATATATTAAATTTTTTAATATTGCTAATTTTATTAAAGCTTTTAATCTTATTCTTTTAATATTAATAATAATATTAAGTAATTAAATATTGCACCTTGCTTAAAAAAAGTATGAGATAAATAGGTAACTCGTTTTTTTTATATGAAAGTGCAATTTTCTTGCAAATTCTTGTTTTTTTTTATCTTCATCTTCTTCAAGTGCCATCTTCGTTCCGAAGGTTGGCGATCATCAGGGCTATACGTATTTTTGAAACTGCTGACCTAAACAATTCGTTGTTGCTACAGCTATACCATTCCCGTAGATTCTTTAGCCAGGAGTTTCGTCTTCTTCCTATGGACCTTTTTCCTGCTATTTTTCCTTGCATAATTATTCGAAGCATTTTTTTTGATAAGATAGTACAAATTGTATAAAGAGTAGCTAAGCGTTGGGTAGTCAGTGGCGAATCTACGAGGAGGGAAAAAGGATCTTCTAAATTTGCCAATTCTTTGACTGAACATACAACCAAGAGAGGATGGAATGTTGTCAGACTATTAAGAATATTGAAATATAACCAGTACGTGACAGGAAACGATGTAGAATATGTTCCAAATGAATAGACACATTATAAAATTACAGTCCAATGTTCCCTGGGCCAATACCCTACGTTTAAAGATCCTTTAAACATTTTGGGCATTAACGCAACCCTCTCTCTGGTTATTAAATTTATTAGATACTGTTTTTGGTTGTTAATGATAATAATAATAATACCTATATAAAAACTTACATTTTTGAATTCGCGATAGCCAATTCCGACAGGGAGCGCTACTGAAGATTTCAAAGATGGACGATAACTTCGGGAAAACAAATAATTTTGTCATTTTATCTTTAAGCTATAAAACGTTTAATATAAATCATTTACACGTGTGTTTTGCCAAAGTAAAAGTTGGAGTACGTTCTTCAAAGTTTATTTGTTTGTGATTCGAGTTTATACATAAGCTAATTGACTCCCAAACCTGAATAAAAATAAAATTAAATGTTTGTTTTTCTACAGTTTGTCTGTAACACGGGAAGTAAAATTTACATTATCTCAATTATTTATATGGTTGCAATATCGGTAGAGATCTTTAGTTAAGCATTTTTCCTGAGTCTTCTCAATTTAGTTTCAGGAGTTACTATAGAGTAACTTAAGTATAAATATATTAAAATATAAATAATATTTTATTCAACACTTGGAAAGTAATCGTTCTCAGTAAAATGTAAACTGCACACAGTCATGTACTTGGTTATAGGTTTGCCAATTCGCAAAATGCATTGCCAAACATTTCTCATATTTTCATCCAGCGGACGCTTATGTATGGAATTTTTTTGTGAATTATAATATGATGAACATTGAGGAACACTGCAATAGTTTTTTGAAGTCGAAGTCATTGTTAATTACAGTATAAACCGGCTGCTAATATGACCTTGGCTAATATGTATACACATGAATGACAATTTCAAAGTTTTCCCGAAGTGGATGCTTTTGAAATCTACCACCAGGCGTCGCCCACTTTGCGGTTCCTCGCAAATAACCTCACACAAATATGAAAAGAAGGATATTATCCAGGATCACAAAATGTGGCTATAAATAAAACAACCATGTAATAAAAATGAATTTACATCTAAACAAAATCACAACCAATAATACTATATAGGATATTTAGTCTAAAGTTGAATTAGGGCTAGGGGAGCGTCTCTCCCTTTTATTGGACTTTTTGTTTTTCGATTTTTCTTTTTTCTTCGTCGATCCGGAACTAGAAGCTGAATCAGCTGGAGAGGTACTGTTTGAGTGGTCCTGAAGTCTTAAAATATCTCTAAGATTGGTCAGTTCTTCATCTTCTCCTTCGATATCAACGTTTAATGAGTCGATTGAATCAGATTGGTCGTAGTTCTTCTTAGGTGTACCTAAAAAATAAATTGTAACACATTTTATAAAGAAACGGAAATTTAAATTTGTTTATCATAGTAAGGAATAAGAGAAACATGAAATATAAATTTACATCATCATCAATCAGCCAATCGCGTCCACTGCTGGACATAGGCCTCCCTCAATTCTTTCCAGTGTTCTCTACACTGGGCCGCTTGTAGCCAGTTTCCCGCTACACGTTTAATGTCATCGGTCCATCTAGTCGGTGGTCGTCCTCGGCTTCTTTTATAATTTCTGGGCCTCCATTCCATAATACGTCTTGTCCACCGTCCATCTTGTGTTCTGGCTAAGTGCCCTGCCCAGTTCCACTTAAGCGTCGTGGTTCTTTCGATGACGTCTTGAACTCCTGATCTTCGTCTGATTTGTTGGTTTGTTATGTGGTCTCGAAGGCTCACGTTCAGCATTGCACGTTCCATGGCTCGTTGTGTAACTCTAAGTTTATTCGCAGATTTTTGCGTGAGTGTTAAAGTCTCTGCTCCATAAGTTTGTACAGGTAAAACACATTGGTTATAAACCTTTCGCTTGAGACACATGGGAATTGAACTTTTTAGAATATGGCTTAATTTGCCAAATGCTGCCCATGTTAGACCTATTCGCCTCTGTATTTCATGTGTTTGATTGTCTCTGCTTATTTTGATTTCGTGTCCCAGATATTTGTAAGTGTCTGTTTGTTGTATGGTATTATTGTCAATAGTTATATTTCCACTCATTACGAGATTTGTTATAATTTTATATTTCTCAAAGTTTATCTTTAATCCTGCTCTTTCAGACAGACTTTTAAGCGAATGCATCATAGTAACTGTATCATGTAAGTTATCTGCGATTAATACAACATCATCTTTACATACAAAAGATAAATTCCCCTATGTCTTCAATATAAATGTCTCTATTAATGTACTATATCAGCTTAATATTACTTCCTTTCATGTTATGGCACTAAGAGTATGCTGATTTTTTGCTATTATCATCATCATCCTGGCTCGACAACCTTTTTTGGGTATTGGCCTGTTCCAGGATTATTCTCCATTCTAATCTGTTTAGTGCTTTTTTCCTCCAGTTTTTTATTTATAAGGTTGTTACATCATTTTCTATTATTTGTTCTAAGTATCTCAGCTTCGGTCTTTCTCTTATTCTTTTTCCTACTGGCATCTGTTTGAATATTTTGTTTGGTATTTCGCCTTCTTCCATTCTTTCTACATATCCTATCCAATGCAGCCGTCCTATTTTAATGAATGTTATAGTATCCGGATCCTGATATATTTTGTATAGTTCGTTTTAATATTATAATAATGGTATAATTAACAACTTGGTTTAGCGTTTCCAAAATCTATAAGTTGCACCCATGCTATAGCAAGGGTGCACTATAAGAATATCCCGATCAGCTGGAAGGATGAATACATTTTCTGAAGAGAGGAAAATAGTTACATGTAATGTAAAAAGCATGAACACCACCATTAAATAAGGTATTCTACAAGAAAAGTCGATAGAAATCCTTGATCCCTTTGTAAAAAATACACAACACATGTTATCATTGAGCGAACACTTTGAGAAATATTTTCCCGAAGATATGGAGCATTATGACTGGGTCAGAAACCCTTTCCTGTCATCTACGCATCGACACTTTCAACAGAGGAAGAAGAACAACTGACAGAATTGTCCTGTGATTCCAGCCTAAACCTTATTTAAGACAAGGACAAACTGTTTAAATTTTGGAGCTCACTTTCCCATGCATATCATGCCATCAGCATTGCTTCATTAAAGGTTTTACTACCATTTGCGACTTCATACTTGTACGAAACGGGCATTTCTGCAGTTGCAATAATTAAGAATAAGTACAGGTCAAACATAAACTTGGAAAAAGAAGTGAGAGAGTGGCAATTTTCAAACAAATATCTCAATTGACCTAACTTCTACTGACTAGTAAGCATTTAATAATTCGTGACATATTACTAATGAAGAGGCAGATGGACACTGTCACTTTTAATACACTGACCTCTACTCTTTTTAGTTCCGTTTTTGTCCTTTTTCTTTTTCCGTTGTTTAACTGAACCCCAATTGACATCATCGTCATCATCACTTGGTAATCCGCTATATGTTGTATTATCCTTGCTGTTGCAAACAGCTCGTCGTGAAGCATTTCTCGATGTCCGGCCCAGACCCATGCAGGTTTCTAGATGTGAGGCGAATCTCGTGGCAGCCACAGCTCGATCACAATTGGGACACACGCAGTCTTGGTTCTTTTTTGTATTATGCTGAGAAAATACCTCTATTAAAAACTGTTTATATTCTCAATTAATTTATATGATAAATATCAATAAGTAAAGAAAATCTTATAGAGAAAATAAAAAGAATGATACCACTGGCTTGGATTTTAGTAAATTATTGTCTCATCTATTGCTCAATCTGTTCTAATAGGTGGTTTGCAAGGAAGGACCTTTACAAAATATAATATAGACAAATTAATTAAAATACAATATCGACAGATATATATAAAAATACAGATATCAAATTTGTAGATAATATAAAGCTGTAATGTTAAATAACATTATTTAACAACACCAATGAATCCTTTAAACACAAATAAAGATAATAAAGAAGCAGAAACACTGGTTAACAGTCAAAATATTTCAAATCATTAACAATAAAAGACATCTTACAGATAGCCGAATAAACAAGTCTAACTAAAGACTAAACTAGGAGATGAAAGACTGGCAAATTACCACAATTTATGCAACGAAATTGATACACTTGATCAAAACATTCTACATACATAAATTGATACTCTTAAGACAATTAGCATTAGTGACAAAATGAACAGAAGATTAAAAGAGGACATTAAAAAATGTAGATTTGGAAAAATACACCAAAGATTGGTGAAATAATATGGCAATTGCAAGTTGTTCATAGTTTTAGTGATGTTTTGAAGAGATATTAGTTGGGAAGAAAGTTATATATTCATGGAAATGATATTAAGAATACCTGTAGATAGGTATGTTGCCGCCAATACAATCTAAGATCCTGTTCATGTTGGCGTAATTGATACAGATTCATAATAATATGACTTGCTATTGCTCAACCATATATGTAATAGTAGCTTAGTGACTGATTATCTAGATATCTGATACCAGACTTAGATTTGATAGAGCACATAAATGACAGGCTAAAATGGTGCATAAGGAAAATAAATCCTGGTCCAAGTACAATAGAAGAACTTCGCATTCATTCAAATTCTTAATTAGTAGCATATTAAAATGCATGCAAGTAGTAATTAGAGCACAAGGAAGAAATATTTTTACATAAATCTAAACCATATTTATTTTTGTAGCATTTAACATACATTTTTTCTACAATTATATTTTCATAAAATTTTGATGATACTCTGAAAATGTTTAATAGTAAAATGTTTATGACATCTTATAATGCCCAAGGTAATGTCATAGACTCTCTTGTAGAAAAAAAGTAATACTTTACAAAACAATGACAATTATATTGAGTTTAATTTGTTGGGATGATTTAGCAAAATTAAGGTTTTAACATTACATATTGACTTCAGTATACTCTGAAAAAACAAGAGTAAATGATTGAATGAATGTTTCTGGGGCCAAAGAAGCATCTTTGTTAAATAACAAACAGCTTGTTACAAGGCATAATAATACTAAGAGATTAAAAACAACATGAAGATATGATCTAAGATAAGAATAAGATTTATAAATTTCAGTGTAGTAGAACATCACTGAATGCTAATTAAATTTAAATCAAACTGGTATCACTTACATTGAGTATAGACTTTTAATTGATTCTTAAATTCATTTCACTTAATCATGAACAAAGGTTTTAAATATTATGTTACATGTAATTACCGACAGATATTCAAAGTCTACTGCATCAACATCTTCACTATTTTCATCTACATCTAAATCAAAAGCATTTATTTTGTGTTTCCTATGTACATCAAATATTATTCCTAAAGTTAATTCGTCTATTAAATTGTTCAAGAACGTTTCCATTGCAGCTCTCATCGCTTGTTTGTTATTGACTAACTCATGAAAATCTTTTGACAAATAATTAAACAGTTGTTTCTGACCAAATTTACTTTTCCTTTCTGACATTTCAAATTTACCGCCGAATACCTTTCAAGGTAAGTGAAAGTTAACCTAAAAATGTAACAGATTTATATATAAAAATTGTTTATTCTTATTTTATTTTGTACTTTACCAATTTTATAGCTGTAGTCGTATTAATATCATTATTTCGTATTTCGTGAAAGGATTTCCTCAAAAAAGTGTTATTATATTCTGACCTTGATAAAATCTTATTGACATGTTGAGTAGTTGAGTTGACAGTTGGATGGATTAAATTTTTGTTGACTAGATTTTGCTTCTTGAGAGTGATTCATTTTTATAAAACTAGATGTCGCAAGCTGTAAAATCAATTGGGGTTCATCTTAGAAAAGAGTTAATAATGAAGTCACAGAAGCGCTGCTTTTCAAATGCAATTTTTGCAATTTTGCAATAATTGATTTTTAGGCAATTATTATCTGTAAGAAATATACCTATATCACTCGTTTAAGTGTGACTGACATTATAAGTTTAACCAAGTCAGTTCTATTTATCTCTGAATTTTAAAGTTAAATATATCATAAATATTGTTAAATATATCATTTAATGCATCTCAACTGCAGACGTTAAAATAGCAAAATGAAATTATTTATTAGAAAATAAGAAGTCGATGCTCATTGAAGAAAACATCGATGTCGTATTATAAGAATTACTGGTCCTCGTTGCTTATCTTTCTTTTATTGTCAAGAATAGCTGATTATTTCACTACAACTAATAAACTAATTTAGCCTTATACAAGAATCGTAATACTACAATTTATTTACAAAAACTTAATATTGGAATAACTATCACTTGAAGAAATGAAAAAGCAGGAAAAATGGAGAAATATATTTTTTATAGGACACCAACTTTGAAACTAAGAATGATAAAAGTAAAAGCTCAAAATGGATTGCAATAATTCCGTTAAGATCTAAATGGAAGTGATTATCTGCTTACTACTGAGTAAAAGCGTCTATATTCTTTGATAATAGTTTCTATCATTTTATTTTCTAAATGATAGTAATAAAACCAAAAAATGACCATAAAAAAGTTGAGTTTTTTTTAAATTTATTTCCTAAACATTACACTTATTTTTTTTAAGCTAAATTTTGACATAGTAAAATATTTTAGAAATTTTTGACCAATATAACTTCAATCCTAGACCTGAATTTAGAAACCTAATGTTTAATAGTTTGAAAATAATAATAAAAGTAATATTTTTTGTATATTTTTTATTTTATGCAACATACAAAAATTATTATTCACAAAATAATTTTAGAAAAGTTTAATCTTTGCTTAACATTTAGAACTATCACGTATAATCGCCCCTTAAGATCTGTTAAGATCAATTTGCAAGGGACTGGTCTACCATTTGACATTTTATTTTGATTGGACGTTGTTATTCCGCGATTTTATTTAAATGTCAAACTGTAAGATCGACCAATCCTGACTATCGAATTAATAGAAAATCGCATGCGTAAATCTACTTTTTTCGACTGCACTGCAAAACGGGAGGAGCTTTTGTAGCTTATCAATTGATATCTGGTCTGTCAGTCCGAGTTCGTACCGTGTCAGTCGATCATTAATCATTGATTGTGGTGTATGAGGAAATTAGCGGGTGCTCTTTGCTAGTTTTAAACGAAATGATAAAATGCAGTACCACAATTGAATATATTTGTAAAAATATTCAACCGGATTTTTAGGAATTATTAAAATAACATACCTATTTTAACAACCTCCATTTTAGTGAAGTGCTGGCTGGGGTTAATTTTTGTACTGGCGTATCGATATTAACTGCGGGCTTAAACAACTGAATGGTGCTAATAAATTTGACATTAAACTCGTTAAGTGATATGTTAAAAATGAAGAATTGCGTTTAGATTATTCTTCAAACTAGACTATTCGATTAGGAATTGCGGTATTGTGCGTAAGCTGTAATTAATATAATTCGATAGATATCTTCAAATTTTTGTACATATTTATATAAACGGTGCTAAAAACGAGCTTGCCGTTTCGTAAATAAATTTCGAGTGTTTACATATTTACTGTATTGAATTACCGGCAGTAAAAGTAGATCGAAAATGAGTCGCGGACACGCAGGACCCCGTATTCACGTTCCAGACGAATTAAGAGAAGTACTCCTCGAATTTACAATTAGTTATTTATTGGAACAACCTGGAGATGTTATTAGTTACGCCGCCGAATACTTTACGAGGTTGAGGGAAACCAGGGTAACATCCAGAGTGTATGATGAAGCTGCTGCCTCGCAGGAAGAACTTGTATCACCTGACGAATCTGTAATGTCCAAAGATGAAGGTAAATACAAAATTATGACCACTTTTATTCATTTAATTTTTAGAATCAAACTCGTTACTATTTTGGGAAAAATATATTATCCCAGATTAAATCCACACCCAAATACCATTTTTATGAGTTGTTGCTTCAATTTTAACTATTTATAATCATTAATTTATGGTATTAAAATAAAAATGGTAATACTTATGTAAATAATCATGTGACCTACATTTATATAAATGCTCAACAGGCCTTTTAGCAGTTTGCACAAGCTTGGTGAATGAAGTTGTATATACCTCAAATTAAAACAATTTTTTTACAAAATCTTGTAGGTTCTAGCTCATTTTTCTTCTTAGATACCAATCACATAGATTCTTCATCCATGAGTTCTGCCTTCTGCCAACAGATCTTCATCCTTGAATCTTTCCCTATATTATGAGTCTCAAAATTTCATATTTTGGACCCCTCATCATGTGTACTAGGTATTCCAGTTTTCTGGTTTGTATAGTGGTTATTAGTTCTGTTTCTTTACCAACCCTCTCCAGTACTTCTTTATTTGTAATTCTATCAGTCCATGATATTTTCAATACTCTGCAGTATAACCAGAGTTCGAAAGCCTCGATTCTTTTTAAATTGAATTTTTTAATGACCCAAGTCTCAGCTCCATATAATAATATTCAAAATATATAACAGCGAATGGTACATAGTCTGATCTCCAAATTTAGATTTTTGCACGTTAGCAGATTGCTGTTTGTATAAGTTTTTAATAACTCCTTTTTCTTATTACCTACATAAAAAGTTGTATAATAATAATAATAATTCAACTACTTAAATGGAAAGAACTAATGTTTCCAAATGTACATTTTATCTGTAGCTTTCAATAGGGTATCTAACAAATAAGCATTAACTTATCTCTCTTAAAAGTGCTGTATAGCTTGATATATGTATGACTTAAATGTATGTATTATTTAAAAAATCCTAATGGTGATAACCCAAATTTATTGTTTACCTATGAATTTGAATTCCATTACACTTTTGTTATAATATATAAGAAAAACTGCAATGAATAGCAATATTTCATAAAATTTATTGATATAAATACTTAGAGTACCTACCTAACATGTACTTTTTAAAATAATAAATTCTTTTTTTTTTTGTTTTCCATAGATAAATTATCTACTAGGATTTATATCTAAAAAATAAGTAGTATTTTCAAATCTCATGTACAAACTTCCTTCATTTCTTCTTGTCCCTTGCTAATTTCTGGCTTGCTCTCTGCTAAATCCTCTTTTGCATAGGATGGACAATATTTTATTATCCCATGTCTTCATGAGCCTACCCTTTAGTCTTTTGATGTAGTGTAGTTGCTTCTTCTTCAATTGGAAGTCTCCTTGACCATTTAAATCAATTTTCGCTCTCTGGTCTTCATCATGATCACCACTTGGCAGTTATGGAAAATGATGAGATTATTTAATTAACATTTGTTGTTTGTAACTAATTATAAGGCCATACTTATATTTATAGATGGTTATTCTAGGTTTGAATTGCTTTTTTACTGCTATTATATCTGTTTTCATGGGAGTTTTCTATTATGATGGTTGACTATTTCATTTAAAGCATTTTGATACTTCTCTTTCTATTTTTTTAATATTCCCTTTTCTACTCGCCTAAGGTTTACCATATTTCAATGTTAACTGTGATCCGCACTGAAGTCTCTTGTATGTTCCTTTTTTCTGCTAATTAGTCAGTACACTCTTTGTTGACCCAGTCCTCATTTCTTCAAAACATCTTTAGCCATGTGTGAATTGCTTTTTTTCTTTTTAACCAGTGTTCCTCTATGCTTAGGTTTCCATCTATCATTGGTAGATTTTTGTATAAAATATTTCTTGAAAAGATTTGATGTGTAGGAACATAGCAATTTTGTGCCATGTCCATTATTATTTAAATCTTACATTAAAATGGAATTATTTTAATAAAAAACATAATTTATGATTATTAGATGCTTCCTGTAGAAATTAAAATGTTTATGTTGTTTTTATTGGTCATTAGAATATACATAAATTGTTTCTTAAAAAAATATGTTGGTAATTAGTTTCTCTTAGCACTATTTTATTAAAGAATACTCTTAATGGTTCTATAAGACATTTAAAGTTAAATAATAAATTAAATACTGCTTAAGTAATGAACAGTCCAAAATAATATTTAATTTTTTCATTTGAGGGAGGTATTGTTTCTGATTGAAAGTACATATGTCGCATTAATATGTATTTCTTTACTTTGTAATATATTTAATTATTATTTATGTTTTATAAGGTAGTTAAAAGTTTATATTCTTAAATAAATGATAAAAATATTATGATAAATCAGGATGTTATATTTTTCTTTGACATGTTTTTATGTTATAAAATAAATATCCTTGTCAGAAAAGTTCCTTTTTTCTGGAAATCTTTTCAGGGCTCCCTCAGTTCTTTAATGTGACCCTCAGGGGGTCCCTACCCATACTCTATGAACCACATGTTTAATCTATTTAACTTACACTTAATCTTTTTTATATCATTTGCACTTGAAAGTTTTAAGGAAGTACTCAACTAGAATAAAGGTCATTGATAGATAACACTTATTTGTTATTGAAAGTCAAGTGTCCTGTTTCTAGTGATTTTTGTTATAAAAGGAAACCTGCTTAATTAACTGACACATCAAGTACTTATGAGATTATATTGATGTCTAGTTATCTGGACCATTTCTGTAAACAGCAAATATTGCATTACAAAGAATAACTTATTAGAAATATCATTGAAAGTAAAGTTTGAGGGGTCACTGAACATTGTGTGAGGGGGTTAAGTATCAATCAATTTCCTTCCAATTTCCACTGTAAACATTGATTTTATCAGACCATCTAAGCTGGAAACAACTTTCTTTGACCTAAAATTCTCGCTAAAATTATATTCCT